CTTCCTGTTAGAGAGGAAAACCACAAATCATTGGTGAAGGAAAAAATAATTCTATGTAATTTCTACAATTTAGGGACTCTAAAATCAAATAAATAAATCTAAAAAACATTTTTAGGACCTGAAACAAGAAGACAATAAGGATGATGATGATGATGAAGATAATGATAATGATAATGATAATGATGATGATGATGATGGTAATAATAAATTTGATTCTTACTCTCGGCATCTTGAAGCTTCTTCAAGGCTTTAAACACTGGCGTCTTAATGCGGACATTCTTCCCTTGGAATCTAACTATTGTAACGCTGTATCAATGATATTAAATAAATGATAGAAATGATAAACATTGCCAAGATTCAATATAAATTTATTGCAAAAAAAAATTGAATGTCTTGAAATACAGTTGAACTTTTGAACTTGCTTAAATCAAATCTAAAATGACATTGAAAAATTGTTCAACTTGGATAAAATTCAACTTACAGATGGTTAATTAAGTGAAAGCACAACAATATGGTATGTAAAATAAGATTGAGTTAAAAAATAGGCAAAGCCGACTTAGGCAAGTTTAACAGTATACAATTCACATAAAATGAGAGCCATAAAAACACTAATAGTAAAACAGTAAAAGTAATGAAATGCTACATTCTTACATAAAAAAGTTTTTAAAAAAAACATTTAAATGTATCATTTACAAAAAAAATTTTTACTGTAGAGGTTGTGTCGCTTCATAGGCCAAGCAAAGCACACAGTTCCGAAATAATAGAGCTGGAGTCGTCCTATACGTGTTCAACTTCAATTTATTAACACCCATCAAAGCATCTAGTCCAGTAAATCTACAAAACATCAGGCAAACAGCCATTATAATATCGTAGCACAGTACAGTATTGTAATATTTAACGAAATGTTAAGCTAGTCATCCTAGATAGGCCTACCGGCTACACTACACAAAATAGCGTGCGCTTATTCGTCCTAGGCCTACAAGTACTCAAACATAAACAGTCTAAATCTCGGTTTTCACTATAAAAACACCACTATAATTACATCATAATAATTCCTCGATACCTCCTTTACCAAACATAATTATACTGTATTGTTAAGATATAAGTCAACATCAAATAATAATCATTTACTTTCAGTTAATAAAATCCACAACCTTAACTACAAAACATCAGGCAAACAGCATCGTACCATACGCGAAGCTGACTGTACGCAGGAGCAAGGTTGCCTAGGAACCTTCTCAGTACGTAAACAAGGTTGCCAGAACTCTCCCATAATGTTTATACAATGTTCTCGTCTAGACTCCCTACATTACCAACAAAACAATAAATCATTGCCTTCCCCAGAAACTAACTTTATAAGTATTGTCTAACAGTAATATAAATTAATAATGTGAGGTTATTAAAAAGCCGAGCCAAAATCACTAGTGAATCTGAGTCGAATTCCTTTGGCCTGCATTCTCTTCATTTTACTATTATTTCACCAAGCAATCCAAGCTTTACAATTCCTGTATAGCATGTTGTTATTTGTTATTTTTTTGTCATTTGTTATTTATGAGCAATAGAGATAAAGTGCCTTGCTCAAGGACACAAGCGAAATGCACAGCGAGGGATTTAAACCTTAAATTTATGTTGATCCACAAATAAAACTTTATCTACTTACCCATTATTTACTAACTCATTCAGTTTCTGCCCATTTTTTGCATTGATTCCCGTTTTAATCTTCTTGCGTAGTTCTCCATAGTTTATCAGAGCATACAACTCACATGACTATTTTTGATAACTCTGTAGAGAAAAAAATCCAAAATATTTAAATTTACAACGTTTCAATACATGATTATCATCCAGTTTCATAGTTCTGGGTTTAAAATCTGCAAAAATTGAAAAAAAAGTAGCATAGCACACTTGGCTAAACTGTTGTTGGTTAAGAATAAGCTTAATTTGAAGTATAACATCAGATAGGACAAAACATCATTCTATGAAATTTTCCTGAAGCAAACACATCGAAATAGCATTGTAGTACCTACTTGGGGATCGGACTCACACTAGTCACTACGCACAAGCTCGGTGGTCTAGTGGTTATAACACCAGGCTAGTTATATGGATGATCCATTCAGCAAAGCTGATCATTTTGAAAAGGCACTAAATTTTAAGTAGATGCATCCACAACACCGGGGTATCGCCCTACTCGTCTCGAATGATGTACTGGGTTCTTTATAGTGCACATGAGCCAAAGTGTACACTGGGCCTACGGTTTTTAATGTTATCCGACTGAACACACATGCAGCAGGCACATCCCTAACTGTGAAGCAAAAAAAAAAAAAAACTCAAAAATTATTATAAATAGGAGGTAGCGATAACAGGGGATTAAAAGTTTTTTTAAACACTTAATTCTAATTCAAGCACAACATACTCGCAACATTACACTAATGGACGAATGGACCAGAATGTGTTATTTAGTACCAATAGGCCAGGAATACATGTCCATCTTACAAACACACAAAATGTATGATTATGGCACCTGTAGGTGGCTGGATATGGCACCCTTACATTTAAAATTGAATATAATTTCATTTTTTCCTTCAATTTTTTTATAATTTTGAAATATAAGGAGTGGGGAATCTGCCACTGACATTGTCAGTTAAGGTTCTATACAATACAAATGTATTAGGTTTAAATGATATCATTATCTATTATTAGGGTGGAGTATCTGGGTCACTAGGGTGTACCCCAAGATAAATAGCTTGGACAGGGTATGCATACTTAAGAATGAAATAATGCTTATTAAACGAATCAAATATAAAGAATAGTTACCATTAAATATAAATCTGTAATACTAATATCATCTGCATTCTCTAAAGTTAAAGAGTCTTTAATTTGTTTGCACGTTGTTTAACTCTTCACATCTGCACTCAATTGTGCCACAAAGGGCTCAGTGTTTTCAACATTTCCCAGGTCCCTCTTTCATTTTAATATTCACGGCATACTTCCAACCCTTTAGGTTACCTCTCCCCCTCCCCCTTCAAATAAAACATAGCATTGCCATGATCTCCTTTAAATGATATGATAGTATTATCAGCGAAACCAGCCTTTTCCAATTCAGATAAAAGACGACCAACTTCGTAATCCATGTAGGAAGTTGCAGCAAAATAATTCTGCCGGATCAGATGCTGAAAAAAGCAAGCGTTTAATTGAAAGTCTACTACAAAAAAACAAAGCAATTGTCAAATCCATTCAAAACAACACTTCACACCACCATAAAAGGGGAAGGTTGGTCTTACTACAGTATATTGTTTCATTATTTTTCTACGAGAAATGACATCTCAAAACCGCAGCTAAATGTTAAACTGAGTAACTGTAATCAAAGATCTTATAAACACAAGATGGCGTTCTCCACGATTTTACGCGTCACAAATAGAAGCATCGATTTTGCACAGAAAAGTAATCAGTTTTGGGAGAGGGCACCCTAGTCGTTGCCATGGATCTGAAATAGGGTGTTCGCGTTATGGCAAAGTTTGTTAATGAGTACGTTAATTTGTTCCTTATGTTCTAAAGAAAGGGCGCGTTGTTAATCGGACACTTCTAATTGTTACGTGTGTCCTAAAGTCGCGCTGCATGCGCTATGGTCAGAGCGGTCAAGGTTCAAAAGTTTCCAATTTAGCAAGAGGGCGCCGTTCATGCATTATTGCAGAATCGTTATCTTGTGTTTATAAGATCTTTGCTGTAATTAGAATAAGAATATGGCAGTATTGTACACTTTAGTACTCAGAAGCCATAATACTTGTATTCATAACTTTGGCAGTAGTATAACTCAATTCCAGTAAATGATCCATCATTTTAAAGCTTTATAAGGCGAGACTTCTTTTATTCCTTGTTTAGCGCACTTACTTTTTAAAGATCATCGGAGGGCGGCAAAATAAAAATATAATTTTGTTTTCTTATTTAGCAAATAGTTTTGTCAATAACATCCAGATGGAGGAGAAAATAAAGATATTGAAGGAATGTAAAATGGGATGGTTAAATGTTTCAAATTTATACAATTAGGAAGAAATATACATATCTTATCTTTGCAGATTTCAAAGAAGCAGAGGGCGTAACAAAAATTTTTTTTTAACTAATTTTTTTTTCTGAAATTTCAATTTTTCGTGGCGGCGGGTGTGCTAATTGGCTAAAAATAAAATTTTGTTTTTATTCGTAATCATCAATATTTGCAGTCGGCGGGTTCGCTAAACAAAGTATAGACGGATCCAAGAGAACGTTAAGAAAGGACCAACTAATGTGAACTTAATCGGTTTAGTGCAATTTTATTTAAAAAAATTGAATTCATCATGTGAAGATATTACCTGGTATTTAAATGGTACTGGTCCAAAAGGATAACTAATATTCCAACTCTGGACATCCTCTCTTGTCCTCATCATCTGATATGGTTCCCACGCTACTGTTGGAAGATCCGGAGGGAAGAAGTTATTGGGTGGCATCCAGATGGAATCCAGTGGGTACAGTGCATTATAGATTTACAGTAGCTTTTAATTTTTTTGCCAGAATATAGCCTACTCTTACTTACACACTAAATTGGAACTGCATTAATAGTAATAATATAAATGCCAAATATTTATAAAGCAGCAATTCCAAATTCAATGATCAAAGGTGCTTGATATGTGGACTGGTAGCTAGATCAATGACGTACTTTGCCCCTAGGGGTCCCTTCGTGTCTGTGCTACCTGGTAACCCTGTACTATAAACTCTCATCATCCACCACAAAGGCGGTCTGTTCCCAAGTTTTTCATCAAACAAAAATCAACTGTAAAAACACATGGAAAACAACAACTTCTTTTTTAGAGCCTGGCTTAAAAGAATTAAAATTTGACAATGGCTGTTACATTCACATTCCTTGACACATTATATTAATTATTTATGCAAATTCCATGCAGTTTTCATTTCAACAACCTGGACATAGGCTTGAGTGAATATCACCGACTGTTGGGCAAGCTGATCAATATTTGGAGTCAAAATTCTGTCATCAAAGCAGCCGAGAGCAGGACGGAGGTCATCTATGACGATGAAAAGCACATTTGGTTTTTCAGATTTTGATGTTTCTGAAAATGGAAAAACACTCATTTATGTTAAAAACTGTAGATTTAATAGAAAGCAATGCATGGAGAGAGAATTGAGAAATTAATCTCTATTGCTAAAGCCCCATTCCCAGCAAAATTTCACTAAAAAAATTGTTTTTTAGAAAAAATGCACATGCATAACTCTATTTATTATAAACAATGGAAAATATTGGCATAAATTTTAGTTTTACGCAAAAGATTTAAAAAAATGAGAAACACAGACTACAGTTGAACTTGCCTAAGTCGAATCCAAAATGCCATTGAAATATTGTTCGACTCAGATAAAATTTGACTTATAGATTGTTTTAATTAATTGAAAACACAACAATTTGGCATGTAAAATTAGATCGACTTAGAAATTATTCAACATAGGCAAAGTTGACGTAGGCAAGTTTAACTGTATTTCTCATAGATCATTTTCTCGACAAATTCTTCGTTACTAGGCAAATTCAGAGGTTGTAGATCTCATCTGCTAGAATGCTCTCGCTTTTATGTATACTTTATATAGTCAATAAAGTGCGCCCTCTCTAATGAAATTGGTTTTTGTACTTCGCATCTCGCACACTGTGATCGATCGAGTAGGCCTGAGATATGTTTGTTAATTGTCAAAATCTCGGTCATAATCATTTAACAGATTTGAAATAATTCCTATGAAATATTTCACAAGTATCAATACTAACAACAGAAAATATCATGTCGGCTGTTCACATCACGCACGGAACATGGTAGTTCAGGTTAAGTACGTATGCGTACGATTGGTTCGAAACAACCAAGCTTGTTGCTGATTGGTTGGCTCTCAGATCCATCGGTCCAGATCTGGAATTTAAAATCGTATGATTTTGATGTGAACGGTCATATTCTTTACCACTGAACCCATTTTTCACGATTTTCTCTCCGGATTCAGGACCGGAATCCAGCCTTGATGCGAACGCAGCATAATGATCATCCATTTTTCTATATGTGAGCTAGGCCTACATGCATGGTCACTTGGTGTGTATGCGGAGAGTCTCACCATATGGAAACAGAGCAGTGAGGATGACATTCAATCAAGACATTATACTGAGCTGTATACAGTACATTTCTAGTTTAAAAGACATCTGCATCAACACCCAGAAAACTTACACATAGGCCTAGTCTAGACATAGATTAACATCAGAGCTCCATCATCATTGACAATTATGTTCAGCAAAATGTATTATTCTACTTTACTGTTAATTCCGGAAAAAAACAACAACCTACATACAACAAAAAAGCATATAAACAGAAGTGACAGGTAAAGAGTTTGCAGGCCTAAGCCCAGACGAAAATATCGAAGCATGCCCATCTTCTCGGGTACGGTCCACTGAGTCGTGCTTGCGGAGAGCTTGCCTTCTTGGGCCTTGCCTTCTTGGGCCTTGCCTTTTTATTATGTAGGCCTGGCTAAAATAAGGTTACTGTTTAGCGATAGCTAGTTCTTTAGACACGTCAGTGTGTCACTATTGAACACATGATTATCTTCCTGTCGGAATTTTAGATGAAGAATTTGATTCTTATTTATAAGAGATCATTGGCCTTGATTAAGACCAGCGGAAACTCACTTCCTATCCTTTTGTTTTGTTTATGTTTTGTCTCCCTCAACTTTTGACTTTTGATTGCAAAACACAAATGAATTGAAATTACAGTTACCAAAGACAGTTAGTTGTCCAGTGTGGTGGCGCCAGGATTTCCACGCAGGGTTGCCAGATATTAGTCGACAGGCTTCACGGCCAAACACACGCCACCTCACACGGCCAAATTCGGCCAAACTTTTTTTCAATATCGGCCAAAATTCGGCCAGATTTTAATCCGATTAGAAGACAGTTATGTGGGTACATATTCATTTGAAATACTGCAAAAATTACAGGAAAATCAGGGGCCGAAAGAAATTCAAATAATATACATAGAACAATGTTAAACTTCTTTTAATTAATCTATCACCNNCTATAGCAAACATTTTAAGGTCCTGTTATTGGTCAACCCGTTTCTCTCTTTAATTAGAATGAATTAAGTTACATAGTTAGGTAACACAAACTGGCGTTAAAACAAACCTATGAAAACTTTAATAACTATAGCTTTTTATCTAAACTTTCTAAATTCGCCTCTGAATGTTATTGTCGCAGTACTTAAAGCAATAAATCAATGTTGCTATCAAAATTATCTTCTTCATTCTCATATGCAACCAGGCTAACTCCAGAGTCTCTGCAACACTTGCTTGAAATTGGAGGTGCCATCGGACCCGGATAAGCACATCGAGCATTTATATATGGCGCTCTACATAAAGAACGCTGCAGCACCTAGGGCTATACAATTCAAGTGGGCAATACTAAATCGATTAAGTACAGTATTTAATTTATATTCAAAAGAAATTCAAAAGAGATAGAACCTCCACTAGAATAGAACATATACAAAGACACACAGTATGGTACAAACTTGCATTGAACTTCATAAAAAATATGTATTTCATCCGAACAATTTAAATTATTAAATGTAACTTATATTTTAAATAAACTCTCTTACCTCACATCAGCTAAAGGGGGAACATAAATTAAGTGTTTAGTGCAAACAAAGGTACATGATTCAGGGGCGGATCCATGATTTGGAAGAGGGGGGTTCAAAACGTTTCCAAAAATACCAAAAATGAAAGGGGGTCCGGGGTCCTCCCCATGGAAAATTTCCCCCTTGAATCCGCCACTGTATGGGGAATCCTTTAACGCTCAGGTGACCTATGGTTTTAAAACAAATACCGTATAGGCCTGCCTATACTCACGTATAAACGAGGATTAAAATAGCAAACTACGATCGAAAAAAGGGGGTCCTCTTATACGCACGACATTCAGATTTTAGATTTTTATATTCATGTTCGTCTTATGTGCGGATGTTCGTTTTATGTGCGGATCGTCCGTAAATCTGGTTTTCTACTAGGCGAATTTATTCACGCGAATCCAAAGCGTCGGCTTATGTACATGCGCATTCACATTCCTATCGGAGTTTTTGAGAAGCGAAAAAATGCGCAACCAATCAGAGCTCAGGAAGCGAGCCGATCACTCTTTGATTCGCGCGAATAAATTCGCTTAGTGAAAAACCAGCTTAACACGCTAGCTTACTACTGCAATGAAGCAACTAAATGTTGTATCAATGAAAGCAATTTTAAATATGGGAAAATACGATTTTGGTGGTGAAGATTTAAAAACTCATAAAATGGTATTATTTGGAAGATTACCCTTGCATTTGGCTCCATTTATCCTGCTAGACGCAGTATACAGGACCACAAAAAATTAGGAATTCCGACCATGAAACAGGGAGTCGTCTTATACGCCAGACATACAAATATCAACCAAAAATATTCTAAAACTCGGGGGTCGTCTTATACACGGGTCACCTTATAGGACCTACGCGAGTGTATACGATATTATTACGGAACCCCTGCGGAAGTTAGGGTTCCCGTCACATTTTAAACGGTTGGTTGTAACAATAAACTCGCAAGACTGCTCGCGACTACTGGATTCTACAAGTGCGTGGTTGGCTGGGTTGTTTTGGTCGGAAAGGAGAAATTTTCTCCGTGAATTGATTCTCGAACGAGATAAAGAAACTCTCTAATGACTCAAGCTACTGTATACCTTTTTTATATTTTTAATAAAACCAATTTCTTCTAATTTCAAATACGTTTTCCCCTGATTTTGTGATAATTCGTTATCACGCAAGTGCTAAATGCGTGACACATTTATGACCTCATCAGGAATTCCTGATTGATGACATAATTAATGTCGAAATATTGAATCCCAACACGATGGCGTGTATTTCAATACTTGGAGTATGTATTATACTTTCTTATCTGAGATTAATCAGTGGACCTTTCGGATTTATGACCACGCATGTGTTTCTGCAAAATGTGTTTCATCCAATATCACTTTGAAGTGATGCGTGACGGTTGGTAACTATGGCATAGATAACTGCCGGGCCCTAGGTAAAATTGGTAAAAATGCACCTGATCGGACATAGAGACAGAGCCTCTAGTGGGGTCTACTCAGACGAAACTCTGAATGCATATACGTTCTGAGGTTTTTAAAAACAGATACGGTACGGCATTAACGCTCAGAAATATCTAAAAAATATTTTGTTAAAAAAACTAAAGAATATTGAGAACAAACTATGGTCAAGTCATGTTATCGTTTAGGGCCTATTAAGCATTTCATGAATCAATGATATATTATAATATTGACAACATCAATAGAACATATAGGTGGAATTGTATCCAACCCGTCGTGAAAATGTACTGAATACTCAGTACATGTGAAAACGCTTGCAAAAATAGTACTCGCTGCTTTCTTTGGCTCGAATTCAAACCTGGTCATCAGGTGCAAGCTC